TGCTACTTCCGTGCATGAGTGATGGATGTTCCTTGGGGTCCGAACGTGACTTCTCCACAATGACTTCATCGGAAAGCTGTTTCTTTTGATCCATCAACAATATTGTTGTGCGAACACGAGTGACAGCGCGTCTGAGATCCAGCATAACGCGCAAACATCACAACCACCGTCACAGGAATTGACTATGAACGTCACCATCCCGGACCCGCTTACGGTCCTACCTCCGGAGCTCGTGCTCCGCATCCTCGACTTCACGCCCGTGTCAGCCCTAGGATCGCTTACTGCCGTGTCGCCCGCCTGGCACCAGTTCATCGACGGAACGCATCGAGAAGCCATCTACTCGTCGCCGACTAAAACTTCGCAACCGCATAAGACCTCACAACCAGCTGGCGGCGCGCGCGACTTCTCGTTTGTCAACGACTACACCAGCTTCTCCAAGCTCTTTGATGACATTACATCATGGAAAGACCTGTGTAAACGACAAACGCTGCTTGAGCGAAATTGGAACTCACCGCAACCGACCACTCGCGAGTCCATCTTGCAGGTTGGCAATCATGCGGTATGGCGATTTAAGGCTGACTTCAAGCGCCGCATCTTCATCTCGACATCTCATGCAGGTGGCTTGTATGTATCGGACATGGATACAGGTCGTATTCTATGGCAGCTACCTTCTGCCCTAGACACGACTGAAGACCATGCCGTCAGACCATATGCGCATCTGGAGTATCAAGATGGAATGGCCGCCTTTGATCGCGAAGGAGACGCAGTTGAAGTTTGGCGGACAGATCAAGAGGGCACGGCAAGAGGAGAATTCCAACGCGTTGCTGTTTTGGATCACGATTGCCAGACCAGAGGTTTTCAGCTCTCGTATTGGACACTTGTCGTGGTCTCAGTAGAGGGCCAGGGCTTTGTATACGACATGAAGCAGAACCCACCAAAACTGACTACGCATCTGGAAATTGAGCAAGATGCGGTTGGTCACCTGGATCAAAACGAGGATGTGGTTGTGTATTCAATGGGAACGCGTGGTTACCATGTCTACGATAAGAAGTCTGGGCAGGCCTTGGGTATCCTACAGCCATCGCAATGTACGGAGAAGTACCATGTTGAGCCGTTACCACCCACCGACCCACCATCTTCCAATGCAGCATTGGCTGCTTTGCGTTATGGCCGCCCATCACGACGTATCTTCCCTCCTTCAGCACCCCGCAAAAGCCGCCTTACGCCTATATGTCTCGGCAAGGGCCCTCTTCCAAACGCATCTCGCGACCCAAACGAGGAAGATGAGTGGGGTGCCGGTATGCTGGACCGCAGCAGCAATCTCTTTGTAGGCTTCTCACGTCTGGGTCGTGTCTTTGTCTGTACCGATCTCCGCAAGGCATTAGAAGACGGGTCGAAGAACATGGCAAGTGTTAGTCAAATTCTGGAGTGCGAGTCTGATGGTTCGACTTTTGATCTCGGTGGGTGGCTATCCGCGCGAAACCACCGGATCATGTTCGAGATCCAGAACAGAGTGTATGTCGTTGCGCTCAGCGAGGACAATAGTATCAGAGCTGGAGAAGACGCTGAAGAGGTGGGACCTTCGTACGCCTTCCTGACCAGTTCAGCGCCTCAACTCGCAGTGCCGGTCAGCTTCATGGCCTTGTTCGATGATGCCATCATGACAACATACGCGGTACGTTCGGCGCTCAAATCTCCAAAGGACGCAATAGCTGACAGACAACAGACACTCGGTCAACGACGGGAAGAAGGGGGCAATGGGCGTATCTTTCCGACAAAGGCGATTCGCATCATCAGCCTTGCGCCTAGCCTTGACAACGGCGATAACGCGACTACCGAAGTCGAAGACCCAATACTCGCCAACTTATCGCAGCATATCGAAAGACCGCAAGATGAGTTGTTGCGCTTGCTGCTGATGTTTGATGAGGAGCCGAGCGATGACGATGATGTCACTGGGCTGGAGGATGAGTGGGTTGATGAGGACGATACGAACTGAGCTCAGACTTCCAGAACAGGTCAAATACCAGCAAAGGCACGGAGGATCTAAAAGTCTTCTCTCTTGGCTCTATACAAGAGTGGGAGCAGCACATACCTGTAAAACCTCGCCATCGCAAAGATTTGCTGGCACCACACTGACGACGACCAAATGGCTTTCCAGGCAGCAATTTATCAAACTACACCGTCTTTGAGGTCACGTCGCGGTCACTTTACCATGAATCTGTATGATCAGACTATGCCGTAAAATATCATCGCACCATGCTAAGGAATATTCCTCACAGTGGTGGTGTTCAAGCAGTCTTTGCTTATCATCAGAGTCAAATTGAGACCACATTTGCGCCAATATCGCGGCGGGATCGAGTTTTGACAGGGTAGGTGGCTCAGTAAAGCAGATCATAAGATTAGCCTGGAGACTACCAGAATTTGGTCCTTCAACGAATGAGATGCCGAGAGCAACACCGGTACACCGGTGGAGTTATTTCCAACGAATGAGCTCCGAGGTCGGATGGGTTAACGAATGAGAGTCGAGAGTCCCGTCTCCCGTCAGATATCAGGCGTTATATAGCCTCCCAGATGTCCACACTGTCTCCATATATATGTTTGAGGCCACTTCCAAAGAATGTATACAACAGAACACAATCAAGACAACGAAATCCATTCGATTTTCTCGGCTTCCAAAACTGATTTGATCTGACGTTGGTCACGATACTCGCTCATCATTTTATCACTATAGCCATCCTATCTACTCTCACACTAGTACTGTGTGCTGACTTTCTAATCGCTGCCAATGCCACACCCATGTCATATACTCGGAGACTGAGCCGCTCTACAGAGCCGCCTGCCAAATCAGAAGCCCTTTCTGCTGAGGCAATCGTGGGTGTGATAGCCATAGCAGTAGCTATATTGGGTATAGCAGTTCCCTTCATGTGGCCTAGCTTAAGAGCAGGGCTAAATTTCCGCCGCCATTCTCGCTCCCGTCCCGGCTCCACTCGTATGTCTTTCCTCACAAGATCTCGAAATGACACGCAATGTTGACGAAGCCTAGCGGGTTTAAGCATTCGTCTCATCGATGGCCCAGTGCGAAACGCGATCACATGCACACCAATCGACTTTCGAACAGGCGATAGTTCAGATGAGGCTGGTGTAAGCCGACCAAAACGCGCGCAGTGCGACAACTGCGAACAACAGCGCGGGCTGATGCGACACTCTTTAACAATTTAAGGGTGTGCGACGCAGGCGATAATTGCTGTATGGAATCCAACAAGCGGATATATCTGACTGTCGCGACGAGCTTTTGGCGAACAGTGAACAGTTCAGGTTGCAGACTCAGTCAGAACTTCTTGCGATCCCTTCAGATGGCTTATTACGATGGATTGTATCCCAGATATATAGGGCGTGCTGAGAGAGCTTATAGTATCTATCACTAGATATTGCAATTGAGTGAACATTCTTGTTACACCCCTACAGGATGTGATCTGGCCTGTTTGTTCATCTAACCAATTGGAAAGGCTGTCACCTGCTCAATAACTTCCTTACAAAGTCAACATGACCATAACAGGATGTGATGACATGTCACAACAATCCAATAATTATAATCGCAGAACTCCAGTGCCGTTTTTCAAAACAGATGCGATGCATACCTAGGTAGGTAAGCTGTCGCATTCATTCCACACAGCGAATGCGTGACAAGAGATGCAGTAGCCTACCAAGCAGATACCGGCAGAAATTGAACAACGCTACGTAGCCTATCTACGCACCAAGAAACTGGCAGTCAATGGAGAAGGGGAGTTTTCCTGCTTACGTGCAGCGCGCGAAGCTTCCCAGCTCAAGAGGGTGGAGCCTGATCCGGTTAGCGCCTCTTACACAGCCCTAGGACCCGTGGACGATTAGGCACACACGAGGCGCATATACACTTTTCGCATCGTGGGTTGTGAATACTATACAAAGGCTCGAGATTCATCACAACCATGGAAGATGACAGAGCTAGACACTCCAGGCGTCAACAGCGATTCACACTTTCCAAGCTTTGACATCTCCACAGTTATCCCTTTTCGATTGCTGTGACAAGATGAACTCATCGCTCATTCTGCTGCTGTTGAGCGCGTACATTATCTCCTCCTCCCACGCAGCTGTTATACCATGTGCCGTACGGCGAAACGTCACGGCGGAGGCAGCTAACCGAACACATGCCCTGTCGATTGAAGCACTGCTGACGCTTATCGGCGTCTGTGTAGCTGTTCTCGCGCTGGCACTTACACTAGTGCTATCATGGCCTAGCTTGAAGATGAGGTGGGGGCGGTGCACATCTCGACGCTCTCATCATCCCTCTCGCTCTCGTCTTGTTTCGACAGGTGCGTACGCATGCAAACGTTGGAACCAACCCACGGATACTGATTAGACATAGCGGATTCCGCATTCCCCCTTGTCCAAAGGCACGGAAGCCCTGCTGCCCCGGCTTATCCCGGTGAGCCCTGGACCCGCAGCTTAACCGGCGAAGAAATTCCACAGCCACAGCGCGTGCAGTCGTGCTACACCGAGCAACAACGCGCACTGGTGCGACGTACACGCACCATGTGAAGGCTCACGTATCATGCGAAAGGCTTAATCTACAGTCGGCACCAGCGGGCACCATCGTCGTTCCGAAGTCCTCCTAAGAGAAGCTTGGAAGCAAGATAACCGGGTGTTGCGGAGTCTCGTCATCGGAGGCGGGCTTCGTGGTTTTGTTAGAGGGGTCGTCTTCATCTGTTGCCAGCGCGTTTCTTTTCGTTGTACGAGATACTTTGCGTTTCCTTGTTTCGTATACCCGGGTCACGAACTCATCATGTCGGCGCGAATCCATGTAGATATACTTCTGTCACCTGTTCCTATCAAAATCGATTCTTATCAGAACTCCATGAGCCCGTCCACCATCTGAACTCGATTGGCTGTTCCGCAAACACCCAACGCGCGACTTTTATGACAACAATATACCCCTAGAGCATCTCGCAGCAAGCGCTTTTCATTCACGAGCCCTTCTCTCGTCTCGCAGCAAGGGTGTAGAATATACTACCGTCGTAAATACCACGTATGTCTTCTTTCATCATCCGGCCGTCCTCGGGCCAGAGCATAATATACGTCGCAACCCCTGGGTTTGTCAGTAACACATTCTCAGCAACGGTAGTGATTCGGCTTGCATTCGAAGAAGGCACCGCCCCAACCAATCGGGTCAGCAATACACCGCTGGCCCTTCAGCACGTTGCTCACATCCCAGATCGTCAAATAGTCTCTGCCTTCCGCATACTTCGCGAATATGTCTTCAAACTTTTGCGGCAAAAAGCGGCCTTCGTGATCGTACGTTCCGGTGTCACTACCATGCTTATCCCTATGCACATTCTTGAGGAAAAGGCCTGAGAAAGTAGCGTAGAACGTCAGTGTATATCATGCGATTCGTGATTCAGATTGCTTACGGAAGAAAGGATCAGGCAGCCAGCCCTCGCATGTAGGGTATGAGAAATTCGAATGAATGACGAAAACCGCGATTATGGATAGAATGATACCGAATCCGAGCCGATAGAAGCCAACGAAAGTATCCTGTGGCCATAGGATCCCATCGTGATCGCGATCGAAGAAGTCGCAATGTTGTTGCAGGACAGTCTGGTGGGAATGCTGCTCTGCCCAGCCTTTGGTACCTTGAGGCGACTCTGCTGATGGAGCGAGGTTTGCACGGGCGGTACCTACTCGTATTAACGATTTGGCTGTTGAACTTTCCATATGCGGAAACATACCGGTGTGTTGAAGCTTTGAGCCTTTAGTGCTTATGTACGGTCTTCGTTGCTCGGTAACAGGCACGTCACGGATTGAGCTCATCACTCCACCATCTCCATTAGTGAGTCGCTCGGAATGCCTCGTAACTTCAGACATGTTTTTACTATTGCGGTATATAGGTTTGCGTGGATGTTGAGGTCATGGAGGGAAGGACAAATAAAAGGAACGCTATTTCCAACTTCAATGACATCACGCCATCTGAAACAGCCATGGAGCATCAACCAACTTCTGAATCATGCCCAGGTACACCGTCACCGATTCGTCATCCCAAAATTTCACATGCATCGCTTTTTTTTTTATACACCGAAGCTGTAGTGTTCCGCTAGCCAATGGCAAAGCGCGTTGTCAATCTTGGATGATTTCCGGCTCGCGCCGCTACCTAGGCATGCACATCACCTGGGCAGCGAACCGGCCACCTGGTACCCCATCAACATTGCGTCTCGCGGCATGTACAGTACCCTTTACCGTATGTTCGACGCGGAGCTGATGTTCAATACATGTAGTAAATTCCTGCATGTATCTGCGTTGCGCGCGACTTTGCACTTCAGGACTGGCTTCGATGACGTCATTCGTTGGCTCTGCCTACATCTGGCCGCGATGTGAGCCTACTTGTGCCCGTTGTAACTAACATGGACTCGAGCAGCTTTGCCATACTGCCTCCACAGGGCTGTTTGTAAAATAGTCCGTACAACCCGTAAACGGAGCTGAAATGGTGCAACTTTAGTGCATAAGTTGTACTTACACTGCGCGCAATGCTTGTTTGTTAGAGGATCGTATAGTAAAAGACATTGCAAGAGATGTCGCGTTGTTCTTGCGCTCCTTTACCCTCACCTTTAGAGTTCCTTACGTAAGCAGCCCCTAGGCCTAAAAGGGGCATCCCAACATCTTGGCGGCTTTTTGTCCAATAAGAGACGAGCTTAATGGGCCAATGAGAAGCGATTTCTTCCGACAATCAAAGCCCTGAGGAGCAACCGTAATATGCAGCTAAAGCTGCAATCAATAGGATTGCTCTCTTTGTTAGGTCCCCATGCTCGAATGCAGCCTTGACTGTCTTCTCAAGACACTCAAACGGAGCGTCCAGTGACAGTTGTGAAGGTATCGTGACCTGGATAGCTTTGTACGACCTGCCAAGCATGCTAGTATTAGATGTCTCGTCGGGGAAGCCTTTCGACTAGTTGTTCGTTCCGGAGTTGCGTCAAGAGTCATCAGCGACCAGATTATGCGCTCGACAATCCTGGCGCCACAGGCGTCACTGGAACACATCTGCACCGCTCGGATCTCTTCTACGTCGACTTAGCCCTAGCGAAATCCTAAATGTACCCGTGTCACTTGCTACTGGGCTGCCGACTGGACCGTCTACCCTTATCACGAACGGCACTCTTGTAACCTCAGGCTGTCCTAGGACAGAAAGAATGCGCGGGCAGCTACAGACACTCGTCTCATAACTCGTTGATCAAAATCGATGCACTGGAGCAGTCGTTCTGAACGTTTGCGTAAAGATGGAAGACGACATCTGCTGCGTTGGGTTCGCAAGCTTTTCGATCGTGACAATGTCTATTCAATCACTGTCGAAGGTCTCGCCTTCCCACTTGCGGATACTAGTGTGTGTGAGGTAAGGGTCGTGAGGGTCGTTTCGACGGCGTCCGTACAAGTCCTGTAGTCTTTAGTTTCTACCAGAGGTCATGAGTCGAGTACTACACGTTTGCAAGTAGGCTCCTAGGAAAGACGTCTTGATGATACTCTCGTCGCGGTTTGTCTCACTATCTCCGCCATTATCAGATGGTGAAAGGCCGCACTGACTCTCGATTGCGTGCTCACTCACTCAGCCCTTCACTGAGCCCGCTCCGCCACCGCCTACACGCGCCCCTTCACTCACCTGCCCGCCAACAACCTTAGAGATCCCCATGTATGTCCTGGTATTATATATCGCTGGTCGCGGTCTTATTGTACTATATATTATATGGAGTTTAGAAATCTTCCATCAAAACATAAGGCATGGGGTCATTGGGACCAAGCGCACGTCTTACATCACGGTCTTTCAGGTCCGTATGTAATGGCCTGAGTTCGAGTCTGGGTGTTGGATCGGTTAGCTCACAGTTGATCTTCTGCGGATTCGAATTCCAGTGGTGGCCTTTGTTATGATTTGGATGGCCGTCCCTTTTTTTGTTCTTTTTTGCGCAGCTTTGCGCAATCTTTTTCTTCTTGTTCCTTCTCTTTCTTTTTGCTCCTTTCGCGCTCACTTTTATCGACCACCGTGTTAGGTGTGTTAATGTTGGAGTAGTATTCTTCCGCTGCCTGTCAATGAAGCACTTCCTCATTCCAAGAAGTCACGCGGGAAGGATCGTCCTAAAGTCGTAAAGAGCACACTCACGTCGCCGACAGGACTTCTAGGGTATATTCAAGTTTACGGAGGGGGTTAAGAGAATTGGACGAGAGCATGTTGCAGGTGACACTTACACGCATAATCAACTCCAAGTTGACCTAGAGCACAGCGGGGCCTGCCGTACACGAGTACTCCTTAGAGACATGTCTGATGTTTAATAATACGTTGAAACTAAACGGCGGACTGGATGTTGACACCAAGAAAAGATGAAAATAAGCTGAGGATGACCAGGCTCCACGATGTTTTGTCGATGTGAGGCTTTGGATTTGCGGAGCGGTACGGAAGAACAATGCACCGAGCCTCGGCTCACCCCCAGCTTGCAACATCCGGGGCAAGCTCCGATGACGAACATCTACCCGTGTGTTGCGATGGCTATCCATATTCCTCCCTACGACGCTTCCACCCTTCGTCCAACCTATACCGATCTGCAAAATGGATAACAGCTCACTCTTCGACGTCAGGGTACGCACATAATCCACCCGCACGTCCGATCTTCCAACTGACTCTCATCCAGGGCAAAATCGTGCTCGTCACAGGCGGCGCGAAAGGCATCGGTCGCATGATCAGCGAAGGCTTCGTCCAAAACGGTGCTACAGTATACATATCATCTCGCGACGCCAAAGCCTGCGGGGAAGCGTGCAGGGAATTGAACGCCCTCGGCAAGGGCAAGGCCGACTTCATTGCCGCCGATCTATACAAAGAAGATGCAGCAAAGAACATAGCCGACGAGTTGAAGAAGAGAGCAGGCAGTACGTCCTCCCGTGGGCTGTCATCTGTACCACCGTCGCGAGACAATGAGCAGTCGCTGACAATGTACAGAGCTCGATGTCATCGTCAACAATAGTGGAAGCAACTGGGGCGAGTCGTACGATAACTATCCCGCCGCAGCATGGGACCGTGTCCTCAACCTCAACCTAAAGCGCGTCTTCCAGCTCACGCAAGCCGTCACACCCCTCCTCGAAGCCGCTTCTACCCCGAGCTCACCAGCACGCATCATCAACATCGGCAGCGTCGACGGCCTGCGCGTCCCCGCACTCGAGACTTTCGCCTATTCCGCCTCTAAAGCCGGTCTTCACCACATGAGCAGAGTGCTAGCGAGCCACCTGGGCAAGCGCGGAATTACAAGCAACACGATCGCGTGCGGTCCCTTCCAGAGCAAGATGATGAAGGCTACATTGGAGAAGTTCAAGGATGTCATTGAGAGCGGGATACCATTGGGACGCATCGGCAGCCCGGAGGATGTTGCGGGCACTTGCATTTGGCTATCGAGCCGCGCGGGGTCCTATGTTAATGGCGCGACTATCGCGTTGGACGGTGGTAGCGTCGTTGGCGCGAAGTTGTAAATATAAACTTTGCATATCACATCACATTAACAAGAGTTGCATCGATCAGACATGACAAAGGCTGAATATCCTCAGAACGTAACTGATCTCTATAGACATCTAGCAGAAGTACATGTATACCTCAAACCTCCTCGCGACCTACTCAGTTGTCGGCCCCATCACCGTGGTGTTCATCAACACCGTCAGTTCAGCCAGGGCCCGGCTCTGATCCGGCTTCTCCACATCCTCCTGAAGAATGGCCCTAACCTGCTCACGAGTCGCCCAGAAGCTCGTCTCATCAACCACGCGATGCTCCTTCTCGTTCACCTCACTTGGATGCTTGAGGTCCTTGTCGATGGGAAGGAGCAAGGCCGCCGAGAGCTTCTCATCCCGATCAACCTTGGACATGCCTGGATGCATCAAGTCCTTATCATCAAAGGGGTCGAAATCGTCAGCCGGCTGATAGTCCTTGGAAAAAAAGCCGAAATGTTGGGCCGCCGCAAAATTGCCCGCAAGTTCCTTAGTCCGCTTCAGGTCCAAGTTCGCCTGGGCGAGCTCTTCCTTGTCGTCAACCTTCTGCTGCCGCTTCTCGGACCTCTCGTTCAGACCAATCAGCCACTGCAACGTCATCGCCGCACCGAATCTCTCAAAGATGTCTTCGTTCAGATGGCCTTGGCGCACGGCCCGCATGAAGTCGTCTGGTTTCGGCATGTTCGGGAGGAATGCGGCCTGAGCCTTGAGAATGTTGACAAGCTTGTTTACCGTCTTGCTTCGCCTCGGACTAAAGAAGTGGAAGTCAAAGGGCGAATTCTGCCATAGGGCGACGAAGGCTTCGCGTTGGGTGAAGTTGTTCTGCGAAGGGTCGTACTTGAAGACCAGTGACTCAATCCAGGCCTATGTTTTATTAGCTGTGTGCATAGGTCATGAGGGGGCCAGGAAGGTTTCGGTATATTTTAAACCTCCGTGGGAAGTTTGAAAAGACACTGAAGATGGACAGGCATTACTATCGGGAAGAAGACTTACGCGCAGAAAGACCTTGACAAACTCCTCGCACCCCTCCTTGCAGTACTTCGGATCAAATCCTGACGCCCACGCGAATGCCATCAGGAGGATGTTGAACCGGATCTGGTCGTAGAACCGCGAGAACGAATGGCCCTTGTCTAGACCGTAGAAGAAGATCGCCTGATTGACGATCAGAGGCAAGCTCTTGTCGGCGAGGAAGTTGACCTTGGCGATGTCGTTGTACAAGAGGAAGAAGGTGGTGAGTTGGAGGAACGGAGGAGCTTGAGGAACGACTGCCTCGTCGGGATGGAAGTAGATGCTGTAGAGAGAGGGCAGGAGGACGATGCCTTTGTTAACCTTGTACGTCTTGGTGGCAAGCTTCTCCTCAGCATCGCGATGCAGAGCCTTGACCTCCACAACGTCAGGATGCTCAGGCTCAGCGTTGTCGTCCATGGCGACGTCGCCGTCACGCTCGTGGTTGACGTCAACGTTGTGCTCCGCGACGTTATCGCATTCGGTAAAGAAGACGATGTCCCCAGACTCGACGCCGTTGTCTACGTTGTCTGCGCTAACGCCGGTGTCGGGAAGATCACCCATGTTGACGTCGTTGTCGTTCGGGCTGTCCATGATGTCGGTGGTGTCGTGTATACGGGCGTCAATATACGGACGAGTGCGATGGAGAAAGCAAGAAGAGAGCGGGTATATTGCGAAAAGTCGTCGAAACAACGAAAAAGTCCGTGGGCACACAATCCGTAGGCGACAGAAAAACTAGATCTGCGGTCAGCTGACAAGTTCTTCCGCTGATTCTGTTGTAGTGAAAGGAGAGGGTGGCGAGTTGCGTACCTGCGACCCCTGTCTGCTCTGCAAACGGGCGTCGGCGACATCGCTAGCGATATCGATACAGCGCTTGTTCCGAGGGGGGACTGGAAGATGGTGGAGGATACATATGTAGATGTCAGTGTGGAAGTGCAGATCGCTGGTCTATATACATTTCGCGAGACACATTGAATGAGCAGTGAGTGTTTGCGACACCAACAGACTGTGTTTGTTCGAAAGAAGAGCTCGCAATAAATGATACTACCGCGGTCTGTCGACCTGATCAGCTTCGTCTCCTGTTTGTGGCGCAAACGAACGCCAGCGATACTCACTCCTGATCCCAACATCTTTCTCCTCCTTATACGCCTTCTCATAATAGCCCTCTTCATATTCCTCCTATTCCTCACTTTCGTCATCCTCATCTTCTTCATCTTCCTCCTCAGTGTCGTCATCCTCGTCCTCGGTCTCGTCTCCATCAGGCCATAAAACCTTGTCATCAGCCAACCCACGAAAGAATTCTAGTCTGCACCTTATATTAGACAACTCAGTACTCAACCGACTCGCTCACCACCCCTCAGTACCCGATTCCTTTTTCCAGACCAGCCCCCGCTCCTTCTCATCGGCCAAGTCTTTCTCCAATGCTTGATGAAACTCTTGCAATCGAGAGATTTTGTTATCCCTTTCCTTGACGTCACGCCTGAGTCGCGCGATCTCCTTGGCCAACTTGCGTATGCACTTTTGGTCCCGCGTGAGAACGGGTTGGGGAATGGTTGCTTGACGCTCAGCGGGGATTTTGATATTTTTGGGTGCTCTAGATCACGGATTAGTCAAAACCGAGTAGAGAGCTTTGAAGGGTGAGAGCTTACATGTGGGGTACGCCATTGCGGATATCATCGTCTTGGGATGGTTCAGCCACAGGCTCCAAGCGTGGCCTCTTCGAGGGTTGCATTTTGAGTGAGGGTGTGGTTGGTGAAGGTGTGGGAGTTAAATCAAAGCCAGTGTTCACATCCACACTCGGTACCAAAGATAATGTACTCATCGTACCAACAAAGCGGTAGTAGCAGTAATAGTAATAACCATATTCTCATTGACTCTACATATTCCATTCCGATCATAACCTCATCATTCGTAAGTATACCAGCTCTTTTTCAGCTCCCTCATCGCATCCTCTGCTTCCTTCCACTTCCTACTCCCCTTTTCCGCGTCGCCCATCCACGTCATAATGTGTTTTCTGTTCCTCATGTACTTGGACTCTGCCCTCTTTCTCTCCTTCGCTTGGTTCTTCAGGTAAGAAAAGTCGTCGTACCTGACAGCTTCCTTCCAGACCTCGCGCATCCTCGGGCTCCACAGAGAGCAGCTTGATCCGACATCAGGGTCTTCGCCGGGAACTAGCTGGATCGATTTGTTGAACATGTGCGGTATGGACGATGACGTAGATCTGGACTGTGTGGCGGGCCAGATGAGCTCGTCGTAGCATTGCTCACAGACTGTGAACTCTGGCAGCGAAGGGATGAAGTGCCATGGTTTGCGGAACAAGATCTTGTACCTTTGGCACTCGCCTTTGTAGGAAATCTCGCGGAGCAATAAGACGAAGCGGCTTAGATCAGGTAGTTGACCGGACAACTCAGCCTCAGCGTCTAGCTCGACAAGCAGATCCAAATACTTTGGGAAGCGGGTTGAGCTCGTTCGCAAGCTGCATACGTGCCTGTCATCCTTCGGCATCTTAGCGAAGCAACCACGAAGAGAAGGCAATAAGGCCTCAAGCATCCTCCTATCGCTTGAGCATATAGCGAAGTTGGCTACGTGGGAACCGTCGCGTGGGTTTGTAATGCCGTACCAGCTGATGCGGTCTTCTGCACCAGCCTCACGATCTCCAGGACACGGTTTGGCTACTGTGTCCATGACACCTGCAATTGCGGAGATCAGATCGAGCGTTTTGCGACCTCGCTGAAGCGTCAACAGCCATGCAAGACGTGCCCATGGGCTGCTGAAATCACAGCTCCGCTCCAACGAATAGTCGTTCAGCCATATCTGTTTGAAGTCCACGTCGAAGGGTGTACCGGCGAAGACACCCTCGTAACAACTAGGGCAAATATTGAAGTTTTTGTTGTCTTGGAGCGCGTACCAGTCATCGTAAGGCCCAGATTTGTAAGGTCTTGGGCAGTCTGGAAGTTTTCTGTCCATTGAAGCAGTCCTTCGAGATGATCTGTCACGGCGGCCATCGTGAGAGCGGAAACTACCTGATCTGGACCTCCTTGGTCGTGAAGGCTCCTCCAATGTCTCTGTGTCTTGCCTCCTAGGTCGGGAAGGTAGATCTCGCGTGTACGGTGAGCTAGGAATTGACGGCGACGTCGCTCTGGGGATGTCCACGTAGCTTTGCCTCGGCGAACCGACGGTGGAATGATCGAATTGATAGTGCTCTTCGGGTGGCATGAAGACGTCAATGAGTTGGTCGTCAATGGGGTATGGTAAAGAGTCGCTGGTGGATTGCCTTGCAGGAGACGGACTGTGCACATCGATGCGAGGCCTCGGGAGTGGCATGGTGTCGTGTCTGCCATATCGAGAGGGTTGTCTTGACCTGTCGTCGGAAGGTGCTGGAGGATAGGTGGCGTGCCAATCTGACTCTGATACGGGTATGCGACCGCGGCCCGGCGAAGAAGGGTGGAACGAAGAAACGAGCGGGGAGGTTGGCCGCGGGCCACCGCGGGACGATGGTCGAGAGTCTGGAGGAGAGTCTCGCAATCGGGTGGGCAGCTGAGGCGAGGGCGCTCGATACGATGGCGAGCTTGGTCTGGACAACGGGCGTGAGCTGTTAGCATAAACGGTATCTACGGGCACAGGCCTCGATCGCCGCGTGCTGTGCACCGAAGACGAAGACGACCGCGGCGACTCAGCATTGGGGTACTCCTTGTACGAGCCTGACGAATCACCCTTACGTATCGTCGGCAGGGGGCGCTGCCCGGAGTCGTGTCGACGCGGTTCGGGCCTCTCCTGTGTATCGCGCAGGTTTGTCCTCAGATCCTCCCTTTGTAGGTCGCTCTTCACGAAGCTGTAACGCGCGGGCTTTCGTTCGGTTCGTAGGTGGGTCGTGCTGTGCGCTTCGGAGTCGGAGTCGGAGTCGAATACGTATTCCTTCTTGGACGCTGGCGACGTGTACGACTTGTGTCGGCTTTCAGTTGGCATCGGTCTCGACGGTCTGCTCGCATCTGGCCTGGGATGGCTGCTGTTCGAAGGCGTAATGGGTCCTGGCGAGCGCATAAAGTCTGCAGGCGAGGGCGCGGTAGACTCCTTCTGGGGCTTCGAGTAGCCATAGGGCGCCCTCACGCGCTCAGTAAAGACGGGAGGGTCTGGGACGTCGGTGTTGATGTGCGACATGCCCCCACGGTCAGCAAAGCTGCGCCGGCGCCGGTCCCGAAGCGTGTTGCCATCGTCATCGGTGCTGGATTCGGAAACAAGCACATAGCGGCGGTCGTGTTGTGCGACGCTCGGCTGCTCAATCTCGTCGAGCAGGGAGTCTTGGTCGACGGTGCCCCGCGTGTTGCTCGGCGGCTCACCCTCGGCCTGCCCTGGCGACCCCGCGGAGGACGGCGCCTCTTTTGCTAGCGCCTCCCTCTCGTCCTCGACGCTCGGTGACGGCGGCCATGTCTGCTCCTGCCTGTGCGACCTGTACGAATGCGGCGCGGGTCGTCGAGGTGGCAGGGGTGGAGAAGTGCGGGGCTCATAGGTGTAGGTGTTGTAGGACGGAGTGTAGGACGAAGTGTATGGATTGCTCTGGCGCATGTCTGCCAGCTGCTCGCGCGCCTCAGCTAGAGTCTTGTCGCTCCTCGCGTAGCCATAGGGGTCCGTCTCTCTTGATGTATAGTGGGAGTCATGGCGCGGGCGGTGGTGGTACCGGCTGTCGTATTCGTAAGACATGTATGGGCGTACGTGAGCGATGGTCAGGCGAGCAGTGAGAGACTAGGCAGTGGCTTTGGCGAGCATGCAGCTTGGGCAACTAGCTAGGGCGGCTTCAAGAGTATCAAGACGAATATGGCGGAGAGGGCAGGTTTACATAGCGCGGCAACAACGGCCATGTTGGATGTACAAAGATGCTAGGTGACGCATGTAGCCGTCTGTGAATTGCGGGTCGCGGCTTCCTCGCGCCTTCGCCCTGCACCGTCCCCACCGCCGGTAAAGCCCTATTTGCTCGCTTCCCGTCCTCTGTTCAACGCCCACCGCCTGTTCGCACATCTTCGCCTTGCTGAGATATCTGGGTTATTCCTTGGAAGTATCGTCACGGCACAGTCGTCTTCATCGCATTTGCTCGTGTGAACATGCAAGTGTTGGTACCTGTACGATCGAAGCGTCGTATTAAGCATCATAGTTCCCTCTAGCATCTTCTAAACCCTTGTCCGAGCGAAAAATAGCAGCATTCGCCGTGATGCTACTGTACAGTTGCACTATGACTTCATGGTACCTGAGCGATTCTTTTCTTGTATAGATCCAATAGTTACATGCCATATTATGGCCATGGTTTGTGGTGCATCGACTGTAGATCTGCAGATTTGGGAATTCGCTACCTGCCCACATGCAAATATAGAACACGACCCTTCAAGAACATCATATACCTATCCCCATATGATCGTGATACATACAGCTACCTCCCGCCCATGTCTACTTCAAAGCCTCTCCTCTTCGCAGGACCGGCAGCCTCCGGAACAGCGGTAAACGGCACTTAGCACAGCCACACGGGCTGCAGCCACCTCACCACGTGCCTCACCAACTTGTCAACCCTTCATCATAATAGAGAACATGATACCACACTATGCGACTACGGTCAAACTTTCCGGGCGCAAGAAACTGACCGTCGTCTTCAGCCTCCATCCGGTCACAATCTGCCTCGCGCCTCCATTCCAAGGTTTCTACTACCTACACGACTGAACCCACCGGTACGCAGAACCACAAGCTCACAACCAAGTGAAGCACTCACCGGATATGCGGCTCTGCTCGTACTCAAACAACCATACTTTCTCGTAATCACAGAACTGAGTCGTTGTGTTCAAGCCAGGCGCGTGATGCATGGACCTGCAGGCAGAAAGTGGCTGTGCAAGGCGTTCCCGGAAGCCGCCGAGGACGGAGCACTGAACCACCGATATATATACCAGTCGCAGGAGAAACTCGGAATCCTGCAATCCTACAATGCCAAACGATACAGCTATCTCTGTTAAATCCGATGCATTCACGTATTGTGCCTGAATTGGTGCGCATCAGTGTCGTAAACCCGATAACTCCATCGTGACACGTTGTTTCCGCGGCATGGATACGCCCCGTCCTACCTAGGTATGGTATGCTGTAGGAATCAATTTGTATATAAGCTGTAGAAAGACGATAAGACTGCTTATGGTTCAGATGACAAGAGAAGCAACAGCAGTCAACCAACAAACCTCATTGACATAATCCCAAACATGTCCGCCCCCACTGCCACCGTCAACCTCCCCAACCTCACAACCCACCAATCCATAACCGACACCCTCCACCGCCTTACCCTCGGCCTAGACAGCAACGACCGCGCCCTCGTAGAATCCGCCTGTCACAAAACACCCGAGATGACATTTACCTACGGGCCGCTGGGCGCCCAACAAACCGTCACTGGCTTTGACACGATCAACCCATTGTTCGACCGCGTCTTCAGCCTCGTCACCACACATACCGTGAGCAATGTGAGGATAGAAGCGGAGAGTGAGAATGCGACCTTCGCGCGCATGACGGCGCATGTCATTTCGTACCATGTCAGAGAAGAAGAGGCGTTCGTGGCGGCGGATACGAGTTATACGGCGAGTTCGCTGTACGACATGCAGCTTCTCAAAGACGAGAATGACGGAGGACTGTGGAAGATCACGACATGGAATGCACGGATGTTGTGGACAACGGGAGACATCAAAATCTTGCATCCATAAAGACATAATCTGCATATATCGACTATGTAGAAGGAAACTTTTCTTTCGTCTCATTCTTCCAGGTGTCTTCTTCTTTCCGTTAAGGGTTTATATCGTAAGGAAATATCGGTTACATAGTAGATCATATCGCTAATCCAGACGCCGGCGCCGAACCAACATGTCCCATTAACCGCTATTTTCGCACAGACGGACCAAAATGTCGCGCGCATTTGTGTGTCGTAAACACATGTACATGGGTATCAGAAGCAGCTTGCATAGAGCCGAAGGGGGAATTGAGAAGAAATCGCTCGGATGGGAATTCGGGTTAAGAAGATAGGAGTATGGCTTGATGATTCGTCGCCGCACTTAGAAGTAATTGCCCTTGGGGATGGCGCAGAAGATGCCGACAGCGACGGCGGAGATGAGAAGAGCGCCGAGGATGGCTTGGATGAAGATGGTATCCTGGATCTGGCGGAGAGCAGGCTCTTGAATCCAGACTTCACGGTCAAACACCTTTCTCACGACATTACGCTTCTCGTAGCGGGCGACCCATGGCTCGTCTTCCCAAGAGTTGCTCGACGCGTGCGAGTCGACGCTCTGGAAAGAGTCGGACTTGAAGTCGTAGCTTTGCGGCTCGTCATCGGAAGCGAAGAGCTCCCATGGTCGCAGATGACGGTGGTGCATGCCGTGAAGTACGACACACATGCCCTTCCAGGCTGCGATCAACGTTGAGATACCAATGAAGAAGCCGATGAGGGAGATGACGCGCCATGCACGACCGGCGCTGCTGAGGGTGAGGATGATTGCGACGATCAAACCAGCAACTATGCCGAAGATACCGAGGCCGCGGGCGAAGATCACACGCGGACGGTTGCCATTGCATATGGTCCACCGAACAAAGTTGGGGTGCGCTTGGCAACGGAGCGACCACTCGACGGTGGTGATGATGTCGGTAAATGCCGACGGGTGGGTCGTATTTTGCAGAGCGTGCAGCAGTGCTGTGCGCTCTTTCGACGAGAGGTTCAGCTGTCGCGAACCATTGTCGGCAATATAGATGGAGATGATGCGATTGATCTCTTCCCGGTAAGGCTGGACGGATACTGTGGTGGATGAGCGATTGGACCCTAGAGGCGAATGAAGAAAATTAGCAAAGGTAATACTCACGTGGTTTCCACTTTAATCCTGCGTTATCAAACGCACCAGCAGCACGTTGAGTGTGATCAACTTTGCCGGTAGTCATGCTATCATCGTACGAGTCAAGGGAGTAGTCGCGCCTAGCTTCGACGCTGGTTGGCGTGCGAGGAGGCGTGAAGAAGGGGTTCTTGCTACCCTTCTCCGAATCAGCGACCTTGCCCTCGTTGGCGAAGTCGGTGCCCTTGAGCATGGCTGCAGCGTCGGCATTGTAGCTGACGGTGCCGGGCCTGGCTTCGGGGTTCTTTTCGCCAGTCCACTCGGGAGACAGAACCCTCTCGCTTTCCGGCAACGCATTGAAGCGCTTGACGTAGTCACGGTACCAGAGGAAGAATTGCAAGTTCTCAGCCGACAGTTCGATGTACTTGAGGAAGTTCATGAAGTCGCGAACAGTGCAGGGCTGGGAAGTGTCAGTGAAGGTACTTGGAAAGGTGATGTTCATGGCAGTGGCAACGTACAGGGCAAGCGCCGCCAGCGATGATGGTGTCAAAGGACAAGGCCTCGGGAATACCGTGGGACATGCCGCTGCTGCCGGACTTGATGGATGCATTGATCGACTTTCGCTTGTCTTCGGTGTTGGTGGAAGAGGCAGTGCTGGGACGAGGAGCTCGCTCTGGGCGGCGATAAGATAGTGAGTAGACCATATTGGGCAGGATCCGGGGTCGAATCTGATCGCGGAAGGAACGTGGTGTTGCGGGGCGACGGCAGCACGTGGTCAATTGGTGAGATGGCAGGAGCAACTGTTCACACGCACCGTGCTGCGCGTGGAGATGGAATGCTATATACCTACTCGGCCGATGGGGCGAGTGGAGTAGTGAGACTGAGCTAGCAGAAGATCTGGAAGAAAGCTACTTGCGTAGTCGTCCAGTAGTCGAGCGCTGAGACCGATTGCCGCAGGGCAGGGTGGTAGCGTGGATCTGACTAGTGAGGGCGAGCAAAGCTTGGGATGGAGGTAGAGGAAGTTTGCGCGTGGCCTCTGGCGAGGTAAAGTAAAGAAAGCAAAGTCACGGTCGAGCAGCGGTGTTTATACCCGCCTGCTCGGCATGACCGTATTCCCACGTAGTCTTCCAGAAAGCGGTCCCTATTCGTGGCAGGCACATGGCTCTCCACCTTCACAGCTTCCTGCCGCCTGCGGGCATTTTCCCAAATGAGCCAGCTGTAGCGTGGGGACGTCAACGCCTGGTCGCACATGGGATCCTCGAGGTCGCCGACAAGTAGGTGCGCCCCACCGCGGCCGTACAGTAGACGGCATCGTGACGGACGGTAGACGCTAGCATGCCGGGACATCAAGATGTGCACTAGGCCCACGCGCCATGAGGAGTCGGCAATCTGGGCAGAACCCGTGTCGATCGTCTGGACCCGGCTAAGCTCCCTTCACAATTGCAAATCTCTGCCCTGTTTGCCGGCCTTTTGGCTTTCTACGAGACAGCGTGGCGCCGACGGTCAAATGTCACATTGCGGTGCAGCCGTTGGGAAATGAGGACTCGACACGCCTGCGTTGTCAGATTGCCTTGGTGTTTCAGCGATGCGAGGCATCTCAAGCTTAACGCTCGCAAGTGCGGGCGGAGAACCGAAGCGAGCGACGGTCAAGAAGCTGCTTCGAGAAGCTGCAAGAGTGACGTCCTCTCAGACAGCCACAATGTTGTTTTAGAAAGCCACAAATTTCATAATTGTACGCGATCGACGCTGCATGCATAATGCCAGCGTGCAGATGAACGCCAATAGTCCAATCAGCGGCCGTCAGCGTCCTGATGGGCGGTCAGGATGCGTGCGTCCGGCCTCCGTCGTCACCATGCGTACCAAACTTTGCAACCATCGCTTAAGTCTGGACCTTCTCAAACATCTCCTCCCCAAAAGCTTTGCTCCACGCCCTCACCACTGGGAGTAGTCTTGTGGCTTGCGAGTCAGTATGATAACGTCGAACTGGTGGGTAAGGCAAAAGAAGAGCTGACGGCGCCCAGGCTACGGCCCATCTAGTATGCAGCAACGGCAAAAGCAAATACACATGCCGCCTACGACATCTTCGAGTGCGAGCCAAGATGGGGAAAGCGCCACCATTGCCAGGTCCCTGGAATTTGGAAGTCCGGACTCATCGGACTCATTCCGTGTCGGCCAGCCTGATAACGACGAATGGCTATTACTCGGCCGAATAGGTCGTGTGCAGGGTCTTCACAGTTGAACTCAACCCCTATGTATAGACTGCGGAGTTTCCGCGGATGAAGAAAATAGGAAGGGCCTCTTCCGACGACATCCGTCGAGGCCAAAGATGAGTCGCGGACACGATGTGCTGCGTGAGTGCTTACACGGTGTACTTGCCATATCAACACCAGAGTCTCAGCACGACCGAAAGTCAAATCTTGTCCCCGCTGATGGATGATCGATCATGTGCCTACCAGCAAGCGTGCAAACACCGAAACCTTCTGCAGAATACCTCGTTCTTGGGACGAATGTGCGCTGGAGCTGGGCTGCTAGTTCAAACGCTTCATACGCGCCGTATAACGGTACAGATGTAGCGCTAGAAGCTAGAGTCGCCGAAACTCTGGTAGTCGACAAAGTTGACAAGTCTGAGGCTGACTGACTGAGTCGCAACCCGGCATTGCCAGAAGCGGGTTCGCGCACTCTTATGTTTCCCCAACGGGCGTTGTGAGACGTGATCGCTCATCACATTTCTGTGCACAGCATACGATAGTTGCCACTGCAAACTTTCGCAGAGCTCGACCAAATCTTATGAGAATGCGCGCAACATCCTCTGCGTTTGGCCCGCGCATGTTACCAAGCCGCCCAGCCTAGCAGCTCCCCGATCAGTGGGACTTTGATGCTAACATCGAGACTTCTTCTAGTGGCATGCGCTTTGGCCCCGCCGATTGGACTCAACCCTCAGACTGGGAAATTTGGCGTCATTGGGGATACGTGTGGCGTCCGTCTCGTCGCATTGGACCCTGCGCAGTCGATTTGCAAACGGGATGTGTTGCTGGGAGTTCTTCTTTTCTTCTTTTCTTCTTCCCGTGTAACGTTCTTGCGATTGCTTCCGAAGCCCTGGATCTGGAGTGCGCCTGGTCGTACCGATAAGATGCATTCAAGCCACGATTCCGTGTACCTGAACTATTCGATTCTTCGCCAGGAAGCACCACGTGCAACTGTCCATCTCCCGCTCTCCGGTTTCCCGTAGACGTCACCCAACAGCATCTTCCTGGAAGGGTGTTCTACTTCGCAGGACCGAGCGTTTCAGGTCACCAACAACCGAAAAGGGTGGGCATGTGGACGCGACGACAGCGGGAGGCTCAGGGGAAAACTCGCATGCTCGCGTGGCCTGGGATGTAGCGCGACGCCTTCAAATTATGAGTCTGGGTGACCTCATTGGTGCGCTGCGCGGCTCATGAGAAATGCGCATAATGCTGTCCCGTCTTTGCAAAATACCATGCCCTCATCTCCGTCCCGTGCGCAATTGTGATCGCTAACTTTCTTTTTCGACTACAGCCGAGCACCTAGGCAACTACAAGGCCTGGTCGCTACGTGGCCGGTGCTGCAGAGCCTGCTGTGAATGTGGGTTGAGCGAGGCAACTCATGTGCTGTAGAGCTGACCAACATGTGTGGGATGTCATCCGTCTGTCCAGGTGGCGTTGCCGGTGGGCGGGATCAATACATTGGATGCGTGGGTAGTCGGGTCGCGTCTGACTAGGCGGTGGCATAACTATCGGCTGCGATTTGAGTCCTTGCGGTCATGCTGTCAAAGTGAATATCCCATCCCTTGGCTTGGCGCAGGTGGTGTTGGCGGTGAGTGCTCGAGGCAGTCGCGATGAGCGTCCCGGTCACCTTATATGGAAGGACGAGTTGGTGACACCTGCCACATTGCGCCGTCGTACGTATACGGCAACACGCAACATGGCATCACCTCATCTTCATACTAACGGGCATGTGGTCTGCTAACCATTCATCTTACCTACGCTTCTCTCAACTTTTCCCCTTCACCACTGTCCTCGATCTTTCCCATGTCATTGAACGCCGTCCCACCACTTCCACGTTCTGTCGTCGTCGTGCCACGCAGTTGCATGAGCAACCGCGAATCCATGGCGACTGCGACTTCCAGAGTCATCCGGTCTTTCCGTGATGTTTGGCGCAAGACCTTCCTGAACTACCAGGACAGCATGTTGACGCCCAACACTTCGCTTGCATCTCAGTCTTTCCGCACATATCCATCCCGCCATTTCTCGGCGCGAGGTTCAGCATTACTTCCTCATACAGATCGCTGCCATGGGACCCGACGATGACCACCTGCTCCGGCAAGGTCCCAAGTTGGGCTTCGTAGTCGTTCGTTTCAACAAGAGCTCTATTACTCCCGTCTCTCCCAATACTCCCGCTAGCGTACATCATATCGGCACTTATCATACCTTCGCCAACGCTCAGGCCACGGCCCTCAGACTTTTCCAGCTCGCACTGAACGACTTCTATCGCAGGGGACAAAGCGGTCGATACTTCAACCGGATCGACCTCGAGCATTCGGGATCGATTATGATGTATCAACAGCGTCCGAGTAATGGATACATGGCCACTCGCGAATTAGTAGTCAGCGAGTTTCGGGTGGTGCTAGTCAACATGTCGGACAACTTCTGGGAGGTGGAAGCACGTCTTATAGGAGAGAAATTCACGTTGGTAAATCCGCACGGTGGCTTCATGGACAATACGCCAGTACCTGAATCGAAGATACCCACTGTGAGGCTTCCACGCAAGCCGGATCAGCGCGACAACCCAGTAACCCCGAGTCACGATACCATGCAAGAAGAGCATGTTACCCTGCCTGAACTCGCTCAACCCTCTTCGCAGTTTCCTCCGCTAGGTCCACAGTACGATCAAGAAACTCAGCCAGACTGGACGCGGACTCGTACACCGTTGTTCGACCGTCGAGCCGACCCACCCTTCCGCGGGCCCGGCGACAGACCATACGCTCAAACCATAGTCTTCTCGCCGCGTCCACCCACTTTACCCGGACTTTTTGGCGCACAAGACTCTGGAGCTATCTGGTCGAAGAAAGCGGTGGCTGTTGTCTATGGGGGACAGTGGAACAAGAATGGATTAGGGGCACAGAGAAACACATGTTGACGCAGATATCCTCCGCAATGCAGCAAGAGAAGAAGTTCCTGGATGAGTACGCGTGTGCCGAAAGCTTGAAGCAGGGGGGTCACTGGCTGAGAAGAGCTATTATGCTTAGGATTGGATTCATTCGGTACCCGACTTTGGTACAAGCGGTTTACATACCTGTACATTCCAGAAGCTGACTTCTAAAATCACAGTCGATGAAAGGGTGGCATTATTCAGTCCTCTACATTGCGAATAAATGCTTTGATAAACCTTTCATTGGATTGTCCAAGCGATGGTGATCGTACTCTGATCACAACGTGACCTCGGGATGCATGCGTTACCTTTTCTGACCTATCTTCCTGCAAATCTTCCCTTCTTCTACCCCCTTCGCTAGGACACAGTAGCACATACGACGAACAGCCAATCAGTGACCATCCCCACCTTCACCCTCTCTACTCACCATGCTAGCCGTACCGCAGCTCACAAGAGTTTTCAAGCAAATCGTTATCCTTGTCATCGTCTTCTTCAGTGCTACCGCCATGACTAACGACCCTGACACCTGGCGCTGGAAAAGAAGCACACGCTTTGTGAACACTACGACTGGCTTCCCTTACCCCCCCCCCAATTGCTAGAAGTCAGTGTACGTGCATTGCAAGCCATGATATGGTAGTGTGGTGGCTGACTGTGAAGTAGCAACTTTCAAGACGTTAATCTAATGGGGAAGAACTTCGATATGCTGCTTTTGATGGATATGAAGGACTTGAATTGGAGGGGCGATCTAGCGGTTAGAGTAGCACGTCGAGGTAATGAACTGCACTACGGTTTCCTCCCATACTTGCAACTCCTGAAGATCTTGCAAGCGTCTACATTGCAGTCACAAAAACATGATGTGATCTACTAGATCAGATAAATTAATCAGTAAACATCAGTGACTACTGCACGTTAGACGATGTGTGTGTGGGGTCTCACCGATCAAAGTAGGTGTGAGTGGGGCTCTGCGGGAGAGGCGCATCAGGCACGAACACGCGAAGAAAAGCACCGGAGATGCATAAAGCGGTAAGCTACCCCGTACATGAGATCTACAAGATTTACGAGGCCGAAGCAACAAGGTCCCAAAAAAGAACAACACTGACGCGTGATCATGTGAGCAAACGTCAAAGCTCCCAGCCATCCATCCTTCTCTGCGTTGTCGCCAAAAGCAGGACAGGGGCAAAGAGTAATATGCGATCTACGCACGGAACGCTTTACCCGTGGAAGCAACCGTCCACGTAGCGTTCGAATGCCCCGGAAGCGCGGGGATCCAGCTTTGATCACCGATGTCCTCGATGACCTTTCGCGGCACGCTGCAACTGTTCATCATGTCCATGCTCTGTGTTTTCATCGATGAGCAGCCGACGTAGCATTCCTCGTCCATGATCTTTTGAAGCGAGTCGTCTTTCCAGCCGAAGATGTAGTCGCCGTGGTTGCCGTACCCGGTGTGGTCGTCGAATGAGTAGACGAACGGTTGGCTACCGTCTGTCGGCCAGAGAGAAGCGTCGTTGAAGGGTGCGGTTTCATAGATTACTTCGTACATGAGTTGCGGCATGCGCACGGGATGGGAGGCTGGGCAGGGGCCTTGGCTCTCGAAGGTACCTGAGACGGGGTAGGCCTATGATGCGTTAGAAGATACAGTCTCCAAAGGGCGTAGGAATCATACCATATGAGCCATGTGATCCGGAGAATCTAGGTCTTCACCATTCCAACACCTGCTTCAGTCAGCATCCTTCCATTTGCGAGATCTGCGTCACTACTCACGTTGGGAACCTTAAGTTGACCATGATGCCTGCTGGGCAAGGTTTGGTAGGGAACGCTTTGGTTTCTGGAAAGCGTGTGCTCGGGTCCTGCAGACAAGTATATGTAAGTTGAGGATACCTATCCGCTTCTGCCTTTGTAGATGCGATTGGTGAGCCGACGAGCATACGAAAGCCCGGTTGAAATGCCTTGACCTTCGCTTTCTGCTGGTAGTCGGCAAGCTGATTCTGCATGTAGTAGACAGTCTTCATAGGTGGACAGTCAGTGCATGTCCCTGGGCCACTTGTCCTTCATTACTCACCATACCGCCGTTTTGGCCCTCAAATCCCGCATTGCCTTTCTGGCTGACGCGCTTATAGGTACCATTCCTTGCGCGAAAGTATAGAGAAGCCGTCCAGTAGTTGGAGAAGTCATCTGCAGGCTGGCAGGTTGTGCATGTGGACATCGCAGGCGGGTCGTGAACATCAGGGCTCATATCAGGGACGAACGAGTTTCCACCGATGATCTGGTGGAGATGCGATGACGGAGCATTGCCTGGTTCGACCAAAGGGTCAAGGCGATCTACGACGAGCTGCGAGCATCCGAATCGAATGAGAGCCTGAGTCGGGGCAACGAGCACCAGACCGGCGAGGAAGTTCCAGAGCATCTTGAGCTGGCTTGATCTGAATACAGCGTAATGATGGAATGATGGGCTTGTTAAGGATTGAAGAACTCCGCCTTATATACCATTGGGTTGGAACTCTTCGAGACAGACATGCATGTGCCGAATGACGCAGCTCACAGCCCCCATCGCAACCCATCGTAGCAATCACAGTAGGCTCTGGGTCGATAAGGCAATAGAAAGCCGTAAATGTCTGGCCTTGAAGATACATTACCCCACCTGACATGTAAGTGACTGCTGGACGTGTCTGTTGAGCAGAGCAAGTGCCGGGTTGGGTGGGTTATTGTTCATATGGGTTCTGTCAAACACATTACAGCCAATCTCTAGGCCCCTTCTGCTGGAAGTCGATCATGAGGCACGAGGCTCACTGATTGTTCAGCTTGTTGCTATTCGACGGTTTTACGTGAGATGTCCACCCGCTCTGACGTACGGAGCGACATACAAAGCGGAAGAGGATAATGGCACATCATGGGTGATGAAAAGGTCGAAGCTCAATTCGGCTCGCATCTCGAAAGCATCCGAAGGGTTTGAATGTAGCCATGTGTGGCTTGTGATGAGAGCGAGCTCCGCATAGCCGGATTGACCCCACCGGCCGTGCGTGCCATCAGGTATATTGGTATGCGGGGCATCGGCCAGGACGACTGTGTAGTGTGTAGCGATTCTTTGCTCTGATCGAGGCTGCTCTTGAGCTGGAACCCACAAAGCATGCGCGTTGGGCACCTGAAAGAATGACTGTTGGGCCTGCGCGAGGTGCTGATACTCGATCGACGCGTGAGTCGTCCGTGGGCGTCGCGCATTACGCGGAAAGACCAGTGAATATACGGCCGCGGATACCCCCACAGACAGCGTGGGTGACATGTACAATGGACGACGCCCCTGAACCAAGTTTGTTGCGGGATGGTAGGTGCCAGGTGCGCGATAGCAAGCTTCGCGCCACAATGCCTGTCGCACGCGTCCCAAAGCGGTATAGTCACTTCGCCGACACGTGTCAGCTCAACCATCAGACACACCGCTTGAGCCTCATTTCCCATCACGATCGTTCGCTTCACGTGCAAACCCGCAGTAATGGCGATCTAAGTGCAGGAACGTACCAATCATCGTTCTGAATTGTCCAAGATGCTGCACGTAGGATGCAAACGCTTATGTCTCACATTGGGTCTGCAGCATGAGCTCCACGCGCAGAGCTGGTTCCGTGGAATGACTCTTATCATGCGTGCGCGATCGTTGAGGCTGTTGACAAGGCTAGACTTGGATGTAATTCCCTTTGCTAGACCGCTTAGTACTGCCTACCCCATAGCGGTGTGCTGTCTGGAGTGGATCGTGAACCCGGAGCCGCGTCTTCGTAGCATATAGTCTGTACTGCCCGCTTGGAGAGTACCGTATACTATTCCTCTCCCTCGTCGTATACATTCCGTATAGTTATCTGTCGAATACAGCACCAATGCCTATCATGTCGCCTCACGTCATCACTGCTTTTCAGCAGTATCTCAGATGGGATAACGATATCAAGAGACATATCGATGCGAAGAACCGGGCACGAACATCTTCCATCACTCGATGTGGTCACAGTGCCTCTACAGAATGGCAAGAGCAGATTATGTGGCGACCAGGCCATGTCAGGAGGAACTCAGCGGGCAGTGAGCGTTCAATGTAAGGCCGCAAGGATGGGTCTGGATTGATAGGTATGTCTTTCACCTTCACTTCACAGGTTCGAAGACACAAGCAGCATGCTTCAACTATCACCATCACCACTCATGAGACCTGAAGCTATGGGAAAAGTTTTCGTGTGGGAAGTTTCTCTTGCTCAACCTCATCCTCACACACAATCTCTGCGGATATTGTACAGCACACCATACTAACAACTACATCCAGGAATCTCTCGCAAATTCCTTCAACATGACCAACCAGGGCACCTACAAGCGCCCAGCCAACGACAAGATCAACTACCATCCCACCCCCGGGGAGGTCGTCACCAAGTTCACGGCGTACGCCGGCTACGCCAACCTACCAGTTGGCGACTACAAGACCCTCGGGATCTGTCCTTCGGCCCAGTATGACACCCCCCTGGAACCTACGGAGGACGATCCCTACCACGTTCCCGCTTACTTCGACCTGAGCGAGGCGCCTACATTCACACCTGAAGAGGTCAAACTCGAGTTCAACCCTCCGCTTGTGCACTACGCGGAGCTCAGGGGCGGCCTCCCAATCGGCTACGTCTGGATCCCACCGAGTTCCCCCGAGCCGATGCTGCGCGAAGTCACTCCCGAGCAGGATGTCGCTTTCACCACTCCGTTGCGGCCAGCGAGGAGCATGGGTACCAGCCAAAAGCGCAAGAAGACTGTCACTTTTGACCTCAGTCCCCAGAAGAAGCGCAAGCGGGAGACCACTGCTGAGTACCAAGCTCGCTTCACCAGTCCGCTGTCGGAGGATCTGTCAGATGCGCCTGATGGTTTGCTGACGCCTGAGCCGAGGAAGCTTGTGCTACGCCGTCGCTAGTGGGTAGGACATGGGAGCTGGGTGGGTGATGATAGACAAGGTTGAGTGGTGGACCAGGAGAGGAGAGATTACT